CTTTCCCTATACTTCCCTCATACCTTCCCATGCATAAAGTTACCAAATTCTGTATTAAATCAATGACCTGAGATTGACAAGGGACTACGTTATACATGTATCTATGCCTCTAGTATGTAGGCACAAAGTTTCAATTTTCAAATTATTTAAAATTCGTGTGAGTATAAAATTCCAAAATTTCTGACTCCAATCATATATAACAGTTGCTACTCATTGCAGTGGTCGCCCACCTCAATATCACGAGGGCTGTACACTAAGATGGGAAAATCTTGTCAAACCTAAACTGGTTAGTTGTCCTATGATGCCATCAGTTTGTTTAGTAAAAGACGATTATCTTTATAACACCAAATTATCTTTGGAAAACTTAATTTGACTAAATGCAGAGACGTTCTAAGTGAGATAAAATTTTAAAGTACCCTGCATTTTGCAAAATAATCTGATCTTTTAGCAACCCCTCACTTCCCTCCCTATTTTCTCCCTGCATTAATGAATTGTATTTATAGTCAAAATGCACATTTATACCCCTAACATGCCTTACACACAGCCAATTGATAAGCCATGGTATTTTTAGTAGGTTTAAACTTTTAATTCTGTATTTCATTATTATAAGTCTTGCTAGAATTTTTTTCTTATCTTTAGTAGATTTGATTAAACAATGATTTACATAATCTAGTAATAGAGTCAAACTCTGTATGAATATAACCAAGGTGAGGACACAGAGTTAATTAAACAAGTAATTTTTAAAGGATTAATAAAAATCTGAAATGTTTAAGTAGAAGACTACATTGTTTAGTCTTGTATTTGCTCCTTTTGTTTCTTTTTTTCTTTCACACACTCCTAGTTTCACATGTTTGTAGCCCATTTATTCACTTAATTCCTAAGAATATTGAAACTGAAGCAACTATATGACTGTATTCTTTGAGTAAACACTGACTGTATTTGTTGGGTTTTCCTTTTTTTTTTTTTTTTTTTTTTTTTTTTTTTTAAATAAGCAAAAAAAGCAAGCAGGTTGGTTTTTTTTTTTTTTTTTTTTTTGTATTTCAAAGGCTAATGTGCCCTTCCTGAATACTTGCCATTTCAAACTCTGAAAATGGGTCGGAGTGACTGGGTCTACTGCCAACTCTTGCTAGTCTGGTATGAGTTCATTCATATTTGTCAGTATTGCTCACTTCAAAGAGACTCCGTCATCAAGAAGTCGACAGCTAGGCCAGACCAACATTGTGAGCATGAAAAAGTTCTTACCATGTCTATTCGTGTAGGAGTGACAAGCAACTCACAACAAGAATTCCCAGCACAACCATCCTCAGCATCTGTCTATGCTGCCCCAAATCAGTATAAAATCACCAACCCTTTACTTGCTAATGCAGCTAGAAAATTTAAGAACTGAAGAATCTAGGTGAGTTATTTTTTTCTTGAATGCCAAAACATTTTTTAAGAAAAATTTTGATGTCATTAATATTTCAAATATTTTATTCATATTATTTGAAACAACAAAATGTTTGAAAATACCCAGAGAATTAACTAGAGATTACAGAGTTCACCAAGATGGTTGATGTGACAAAGACTCAGACTGACTGTATTCATAAATTGACTGCACATCTTATGTAAGTGGGTAGACTTGTCAGTGGAGGATAAGAAGGACCTTCACCTTTTCATAAGCTGAACCCAGGAGGCAGAGGGCAGGAAAAGCACCAGGAGGGCAATGCTGTAAAGGCTACAAGAAGCATGAATGCCTTGCAGTCAACCGGTGACATGTAATATATATGTAAATATGATTTTAAATTTAAAGCAGTACACACACATACACACACACACACACACACACACACACACACACACACTCTTCTAAATAATAAAATTAAAAGGAATACAAATATCACAGCCCAAAATGAAAAAGCAAATGTATAAAAATTGCCCTAGAAAATTCTTTGAAATCTTTGGTGTTTTTAAACTTAGAAAAAAAACTGAGCTACTAGAAGTTGCCATAGTAACACAAACAAAATAAACATTCTTTTAAATTTTGGGAAATTAGGAAAACTGGGATGATCTTTCCAGGAAAAAAAAATGTGTAACATCTGTTTATCACTCCCTTTGCCTCCTCCCCTTCCTCCCCACTCTCCCTTGAGTAAATTGCCTGGGAAAGTATGAAACTCAATGCAGGAGTGAGCCCTGTGGTGCTGGCATTTTCCTCCCTTGTGAAAATGTAACAGTCATAAGTGAATCTGGAATGTAGAGAGGTAGTCGATGGGAATAAGAGTATATGCTTCTCATCCTTGAGAGAAACCTATGATTAGGTAGGTAGGTCAGGTAACCACCATAACCTGTTTTTCTGCCTGGGTTTGATATAGTTTGTGGTTGGTGCCTGATTAGGATCTAAACTTGACCAGAAGAAAGAGACAGACTATCAACTCTCAGAGTAAATTAGGAGGCTGTGTTCCATGTTCATCTGCTAAAGCAATGCTTGTTCATGTGAACAACTCCTTACACACACATGCACACATGCACACACATACACATTTCTTTTCTCTCAGATAGACACCTTCTGAAATGCAGAACTGAGGTGTTTCAGTAACTTTGCTTTCAAATCAATAGAATCAAATTTATGAAAACATTTTGTGCCCCACTCCCCATACCACCTATGTACTCTAATTCTCTATGGTATAAATTATGCTTTAAGCAGATTTCAGTTTTTAGTGCATAAAGAGAAGTTGTTAAAGAAATTGTTTTTACTTTTGTCCCCTACAAAGCCATGGATTATGCTTGGTTGATGTGCTGTCTGTATACACTCCCTTTCAACAGGGTGAACTTGTTATTATTTCCCAAAGAATAATAGATATCCAGAAGTTTCAATAAAAACTTGACCATAAGTAAATCAATTGATAAACTAATAAACATTCCCTGCCAGGGCTTTGTCAAGCTATCCGTCACATCACAAATTTGATAATTTGAGAATCATTTCAAAGGCTATCATATTTCAGAGGAATCATTTTTATCCCTGAAATCATTCCCTCTAGCAGGCCATTTTCCTTGTTTCCTGGTAATTTAGCAGGTTTGAGAGAAATAAGGTCATGAGAAAAGGGGGAAAGGAGAGATAGGAAGTGGTAAAGAAGTAAGTGCCCAGACCTACAAAGTGAGTCCATTCACTAGGAGATATTTAAGAGCAGCTCCACGTGATTGAAAATCAAATAGTTTCTGCTGTCACCACCAAGATTTGCAGGAAGGCTTTTCTTGACTAACAATGCAGATTGATGTGAAAATCCATTTTAATATCCTAGGGATTCTTGATTAGATAAAAGAAGAAACATGGAGGATTTTCTTTCCCCAGTGGGCTTGCTTGTGCCAGAGAGCAGAGCATGGAGAACCCAGTTTCTAACATCCAAATGTCCACACCCAAGGGTCAGGCAACTCTCTGTAGGTTCTGGACACGATGTCTTGATACATCTCAGTGTTTGGGTTTTCCAGGCTCTCCATTCTATAAGAGTGTGTTCAATTCTTGCCTTGGATAAGGCTCTTTAGCAATTTAGCAACTACTCATTGTGCTAAACATATTTTCATTCAAATAGGTTATATGGCCGACCAGAGCAATAGATATCCAAAGAAAGGCTCTCCCCAGCATACTGGAACTGAAAAGATCAAGACTTCCAACAGAGACATTTGTAGCTTCGAATGGAAACTTATAGCAGAGAGTAAAGGGAAAAAGACAGACAACCCAAACTTTGGAATATTATCCTCACCTCACAGTTTAATAATAATCATTTCTAGTAGAGAAGCTACAAAATCAACATTTATATCCAGTTTGATAAGCCTCTTGTTTTTTCACCTGAGACAATTTTCCTTTCTGTCTCACACCTATATCTCCATTTCTTTTCTCCCCCTGTATGAGGATACATTTTAAATAGTTGAGTCTAACCACTGTTATCTAATAATGAATACAATTAAAAGCATTTAACTCACTATCTAGGAAAATGTATAAACTAAGGCATAGACAAAACAATGGGAAATGCTGAAAAATTTTCCAATGGAGAGAAGTAATCTGGATAATTTTTGCCAAAAGTTATTTTCATGTCGTATATTATTAGAATTTGGGGGGACTAA